ACCGGCTCCCCTGGCGGTGCAGTTCACCAGCGAGGGCAGCATCCTGTCGGGCTGCGACATCGAGCTGGCCGGGCCGGGGTACCGCTTCTCTCTCATCAAGAAGAGGTTTGCCGCAGGTCAGTACAGCGTTTGAGCTCAAAAAGTTTTCCAAAACAAACAGTAATTATTATTATTGTCACTAATGTCAACTCCATTAGATCAACTTTAATGAGCTTTCACTGAAGTTTTAATAGCTTACCATGCTTATCTCGTCAATTATTCTTATGATATAGTTAGAAAAAATAACTGCCACTGTTTGGTGCCAAATATTATTATGAATTATTTCTAAGAATACTAGTCAGATTTTTCATCAGTTACAATTAAAATTAATTGTTTTTAATATTTTATTTATATTAAAACGTTTGCCTAAACATTTTGTTTTCTCTGTTAAATTGCAAATTTGAAGTATAGGATACTTTCTTCAAGGGTAGATAATACGTTCTTATTTTGATATTATCTTTGCAAGTAAATCTTTTGATATCTCCATTGGAAATCTGGTGATGTAGGAATTCTCCCTTCTTGAGAGGAAAAAAAAAAATGTCCTGCCAATTTGGAATGAATTGTAGTAGCCAATTATAATATTTGTATCAATTGATTTTTTGTATTATGTATTTATAGTTGCAGCTCTTCTCTGCAGTTACCAATTTCCTGTCAAAGATCCGCTCAGACTCTAATGTGAAAGCTTAAACTTTCTTTCCTGCGTTTCAGGAAAATACCTTGCCGACAACTAACCCATGCTCCTGACAACAGCACTGTTGAACAAAACAATGAAAGTGGCCTGAGGCTGACTCCGAGGACAGAGGACAGACCGACACCAGACCAGACTTCCCGTTGACCTTTACTGAACCCACATGACAAACCGCAGCCTACCCAGCAGTATTGTATAACTTGCATATAGCATCGTGGAAACTGTTTTAGGTCATGTAATTATTGTGTTTGTATTCATTTCATAACATCTGTATTGCTGCAGTGAGACACCTGGGTTCTTCCTCCCTCTGAAGTTTGTGCCTCTGTCTCCATCCCCCTGCGGTCAATGTGTGGTGGTGGTGGTGTTGTTTTTAAGTTTCACTGCAGCTGCCTGACAGAAGAGTTTCAGCCAGATTTGAACTCTGGGTGACAAGCTGTTTGTTGTCCAGAGTCCAGGAAGATTTGGCTCTTAAAAATACCCTTAAATAAGATCTTTGCAGTCAGAGACACACCTCAGCCTCTAACACAAGACGATATGAAGAAAGCTATACAACTTCATTAATAGGTAGAAAAAGCCGCTATTTAAATAATCCTCCTGTCAGAGTCTGAGATGGACGCCTGAGACAGTTGTCCTCACTGTCTCGCCCTGACTGCAGCTGTTTGGCCAGCAAGTAAATGCAACTGCGGGTGCATCTCGACAGGTTGTCAAGAGCAATTAGAGGAAACAAATGTTTTTGTCAGTGCTTGAAACGGAATCAAGTAACTACAAAAACTAAACTAGATTTTTCATGCATCACCTACTGGTACTACAGGGTCACATGACTTTGGATCTCATCCTTTTTTTTTATATAAATGCACTGATCAGTCAATCAAACTGTTAATTTTATTTTTGCTTGAAAACACAGACGTGGAGACGCTTTTAGTTAGTTAGGCAGCTGCAATGATCAATCAATTTACTGGTTGCAAAATAAGAAAAATCTGTTTTTCCGTCAGAAAAAAAGATGTGTATAAAGTGTCATTTTAAATCAATAATATATATCTTAAAGGGCGTTTGGTGTTCTCCTCGTATTGTCCGATAGCCTTTCTGTTGTTCCCAGGGCAGCAGTGATAGACTCCAGAGTACATGACAGCATTCTATTTTTATTTATTGATGACGATGATTTGTTGTATAAAACATGTGATTCTGTATAAGAATAGAAGTTGAATGGTATCACACGACTCAGAACCTTTAAAGGTATAAATATTTCTCTTTTTTTTGTTATCTGTGTAGTTGGGTAACCTGTGTACAGTATAAGGTATAATTTTTGAATTGATTTCAGATATAATTTTTTAACTCAAGTGCAACAGAAGATTTGAGCTATATATGGGTGAGGGGGGGTAATTTAAAGAAAAAGATAAATATCTTCCTGGATGCTGTGTTATGCTTTGTGAAAGCAGTGTTAATGTAGAGTTAGTTATCCCATTAGCAAGGTCCACCCTTTAAACAATGAATTTGACATTTGGGGAAATACTTGCTTTCTTTTTCGAGAGTTATAAAAGATGATCTATACCACTTAGCCTATGTTTGTTTGTTCAACATGAGGCTGGAGCTAGGTGACGTTAAGCTTAGCATAAAGAAGCGATTTAACAGGTTTAACAAGATAAAAACATGTTAAATATGTTGACTTTAGACATTTCTTAACTTTGGTGAAATACTACTGGTCCATTATTTTTGGTTTATGAAAACGCTAATGGCATTTCCGTCAGCCTCAGCTGAACTTTGTAATGTGGGCAACTTTGCTAATGTTAGCATGTTAACATGCTAAACTAAGAAGGGGAAACTGGTAAATATTATATCTGCTAAACATCATCAGTTTAGCATTGTAATTGTGTGAAAGAGAGAGTTAGCATTTAGCTCAAGCTAACTCTGTAGACTCTGTGGTTTACATTTGACAGAGCCTAGCTAACTGTTTCTCCCTGTGTCCAGTCTTTATGCTAAGCCAAGCTAAGCTAATCGTCTCATGGCTCCAGCTTAACATTTAACATTCTCATATTTCCCAAATGTTGAACTTTTCCTTTTTATATGGTCGAGACAATAATAACAAAAGCAATGAGAGTTCCTCTGCAGCAGTGATGAGGTTTGGTGACTGGTGCCACTTCTGGAACAGGATTTGTCAACTGGGACCAGCTTGTTTGTGTTAGTATTAAGCCAAATTCATCTGAAAATGGTTTTGTATAAATGCAACAGTTCCCACATCTACCTATTCAATTATTCCCTAACTTTGACCACAGTTCTGACCTGTTTCCATTCCCCTCAGTGATACCCAAACTCCTGATTATATCATGAGCAAAACCCCGATCATCCAACCAGCGCTTAAATCCATGGCTTTATTTTGCATATTCGTAATGGTCTCTGTGAGATGACATGAGTTGAATGAGGTTGTGGTGTGAGGTTAAGTTGACCAAAATGCTTTTTTTTGTATTTTATGTGTGTGTACCCCGGACAGTCAGTCCTCTGTTAAGGAGAATAAGCTGAATATTTTTAAAACGGATAAAAATGAAAAAATATTATATTGTTTAATGTGTAATAAACACTGTGTTGATGATGTTGAACTTCCTGAATGCTCTGACACTCAACACGAAGAACAAAAAGTGTGTGTGAAGTGTAGCCGAAGAGCTCCGTACTGTACTGTGTGTCGGCATCCTGCTAAATGCAACCAATCATGGTCCTTCCAGAGCCGTCATACAAGCATGTTAGGCTGAATTTAGAAAAAAGGACTACTGTATAAGCAACATGTCAATATTCCTTTAAAATGATAGAGTACTTTAATCAGACATAGTTTTAAAATATATGTAGTTTTTTAGCTAATAAAAACATCACCTTTGGGCTGTGCAGTTAAAATATGTAATGTTTTATTCCTGTTTGGACTCGGTCTAAAATAGTACTGTGTATTTTCAGATTTTTGTCTGGTTGCATTTTAGTCAATCGATGCACGGTGATGATGATTGGTGCCATTTAGCTCCCACATTGGGTTATTAACATTTTTCTCTCAGTCATGTCAGTCCTTCCTCTAATGAACTGGATGGATCCACATGCCTGACAGGAAGCTGTAACTATCTGTGTGTATTTTGAAGCATCAGTGCAACAGTCACTACAGCATTATCTACAGAGACCCACCGCACATCTCCCATCATGAATTTGTTTTAAAAAACCACTACACTACAGGCAACATGTCTTTCAACTTGAAAGTCGTGTTGCAGTACTAAACTCACTCTGTCTGTTGGTTGCCAGACAATTCATCTAGTTAAAGAATTTCAACAGTCTTTTCCAGTTCTTCATCTCTGTGGTGAATTCTTCCTGCAGTAATTCATTGTTGCATGCCTAGCATGCAGTGAAAGGTGGGGCATCTATGATGATAGATAGTACTGAAATGACGTGTTGTGCTGAGTGTCGGTTACCTGTATTAATGTTGAGAAGAGAGCAGGGAGTGTGTTTATGTGTGCTATAAGCCAGAATGCTTTTTGGTTCTGTACCGTTAACCTCAAACACATGTGCAAGCTGTTTGTACAGTACATAACAATGCTAAGATCAACTGAGAAACTTAGTTTGCTTCTTTCCAAAACCAATAAAAGATATAACTGGATGTCTGCCTATTTGTATTATTTTGTATTTCCTATGAATAGATACAAAAATACATAGGAGCACCTAGAGACGGCTTTGTTTACAACAACTTTAGTCCAGACTAAAATATCAGAACAACTTGTGTTTAGATTGCAAATTTTGTCTAGAAGTTCATGGTCCCTAAATGATAAGTCCTGCTGACTTAAGTGACCCCCCTGAACGTGTATTTAGCTTGACCAGCAAGTCAAAATGTTCACTAGTGAAAACATTAGCTCAATGATTGTACTGACGTGTAGTTCCAAGGAATTGCCGGTGATGTATGACAGCGTCTCTTGTATCAATGATCTGTGAATGGATTCCCACAATATCTGGTAAATGCATGATACTTTCCTTGATTGATATTTGTCCAGTCCTTTGGTTTAGGACCAATTACCTGCAAAACTACTGACATTCACATCAGCCTTTGTGTTAAATGCTATTTGTAAACAAAGCGTGCTAACATACTGTACTAGGATGCTGAAAATGGTAAACATTATCCTGCCTTTAACACTGCCAAGTGAGCATTGCCATTTTGAATTTTCTGTCACATGTTGATGTTATGACGATCATATTGACTCGTCGTATGTAGTGCTCAAAACTGCAATTTTAAAAAGATGAAAATGTAAGCATGCAATAACATTTATTTGACCAAAAAGCGAAATGATAGAATAAAGTGCAAGTTTACTTACAATATAAATTTTAAAGCAGAGATGGACATTTTATAAACCTGCAACCCTGTGGTGACATACGGGACACAAACCCAGACTTAATATCTGTCCTCTCTGAGGGGGAAGTAATATAGTCCCTGAGTGCACTAACCTTAACATAGTTTCCTAATTCTCATACAGTAGTTTCAATTATATTTTAATGAATATATAGTTTTATGGTTACACATATCTTCCAGCTCAGGTTCAGAGACATGTTAACAGATTTGCTCCACATTCACATCAACAAACCTTACAAGTTCTAATATCTCAGAGAAAATATCATAAGCAATTAGAATTATAAGCATTATTGTACATACAGTACAGTGATCATGTTGTTTATACATCAGTACTTTGATTGGTTTTCTAAGGTGAGATGGTAAAGAGCAGAGTCCTTTGGAGAGAAAGAGGAGAGGGGGGTTGGCCTCAGCAGAGGAAGGTGAGGTCGCTCTTCCTGCAGCCCACCTGGCAGCACACGCTGGTCAGCACGTTGTTCATGTCCCGTCTGGAGAACTCGGAGCCCGGGATGCTTCTGGTCAGCCTCTCCAAACTGCTCTGCTCCCCTGTGGGCAAACCTGGAACTACAAAACACAACAGGTGGTAAAGAAACAGCTTGACGTAAAACACATTGTGGAAATGCAGTCTGATAACCAGGTTCACACTTATCCTCATCCTCTGCAAATGTCAGTTTTCCAAGTATCACACTTAAGCACATAATGATAGACGTCGGACTGTTTTCAGATCAGTCTTATGTAATTAAGGTCTATGTTCCCATTAAATAAGGAAACTCTAAATGACTGCACAGATTAGCTCCATGCCATTTGTCTTCTCCAGTGTCACTTTACTCTTTCTAATCAGCACGACTGATAGGCTAACAGGGTTTGTGTGTGACGGGCATTAAGGAGAGAGTTAGAGGCTGCTGCCGGGGAACACACTGTGTGTAATCATGATATGTGGAATCCTCATCACTAATAAGGTAAAACAGCAGGCGATGTCTCTGCGCTGGGGCACCTGTCTGTCTGCACACCCACTGCTCGGCAGCCTCGGAATTAATAGTAGGCTATACATTGTACATGCTCCTTACAATGACTATCTTTTTTTGCATTGATTTTAGGATATTATTGGTTACTTTCAAAGACCGAGAGGCCTCTTACAACATAAGAGATTATTATTAGGGTGATATTTACAGTATACAGTATATGAAGTAGAGTCACAGCAAAATTCATAACTTAAAAAGCTTTGAATGAAATGAAGTTTTAACTTTAGCTAAATGTGTGAATCTCAAACAGCTGTATCCTCAAACATTCAGATAAATGGCTCAATACATGTTTGCATTGAGGGAGGATTGCAGATGTTGTTCCCTATCGTTAACATTTAAAGCGTATGACGAAAGGACCCTATAATGATCAGCATAAATGCTGCATTAATTTGTTTTGTAAAGCACTTTGAATTGTCGCGTACAGAAAAGTGCTATATAAATAAACTTGCCTTGCCTTGCCTTACTGCCAGCAAAACCTGTCCCCATATTCATAGACAGCAGGGTATTATTTTAAGACAGACTTCAACATTTCTGACGCTTTTTAAGGCCAAATGTACACAGAAGAACAACAAGTTAAAGGTTTTTCTGCCTTATTCATCCTTGTCTGTGTCTAAACCAAACTAAAATGTTAGATTTGTCTTCAGCACCGACCACTAACACTGTCTGTTTTGAGAAAAAAAGAGGTTGTCTCACCATCCATGTCTGAGTCACTGAGGAATCTCCTCCAACGGGAGCCTCCGCAGGTGTAAACGACGGCCCTCAGGAACTCTCGTCCGCACAGCTTCACCGCCTTCACCTCAGCTCTCACCTGGAGCACACACACCGCTGCACACAACAGCAGAGGCAAAACCCCCAGAGCACGCATGCTGGATAACTGACAGAGGAGGTTTTCTCTTTAGGGGTCCGGTCTGTTTAGCTGCTCCTTTATCTCGCCTTGAGCCTTCTTTCTTGGTCCAATGCCTGCATCTCCTTGTTTTATATACTGTCCACCTTTCAGTTCATTAGTCTCAGCATCTCTCCACTTCCTCCCTCCTACTGGCCCATCCCAATCACCACACACACACACACACACACACACACACACACACACACACACACACACACACACACACACTTGACTCTGTCATGACAATCAAGTCCGTTTATGTTTCCGGTCATCTCCACCAATGTCAATCATCGATGACAGAGAGAGGAGCATTAGCCTTTTACAACCTTCAACTGACTATCACATTAGATGATTGCTGCCTCCTCTGTGATTATGTGATGTAAGGCTGCGATTGCACCGACTGCACTGTAAGGCTAATTAAGTCATGCAAAGTGATTCCCAAACAGGTGTTTCATCTGTTTACAACATTCGATGGCCCGTCGTCTTTGTCTTTACAGCAGTTTGGGTCCATATGAGAGGATAAAAGTCAATGTTGACAGTCCCATCATGAGGGTCATTACGGTGCTGCTGATGGCACGGTGTGATACTCAGCAGGACATTTCATTTTGATCATTAACGGTGAAGGTCCCACTTAGGATGTCAATGAAATGATGTTATGTTCAGTTGGCTGTTTGGTTGTCCCTATGGTAGTAGAAAACCACAAATTAATAATAGAATAGACCACATTTTCTGAAATAGATAATAAAATGGATTGCTTTAAACATTAGAAGTTATTTGAAATCTTGTCATTGTTGTTTTAAATTGGAAAGAAAAATATGTAGATTTAAATGCCAAGCAGATGAATGGAGCTTAACTAAACTTCATAAGAAGTAACACAAATAACACAATATGCATTTTTCTGGGATAAGGCTGAGAGTTAAATCAATGAGTTAGAGATCTGTAGCATTAATTACACTATTCTAACTCTTTAACAATGGATTACTGAAAGGTGAAATGGGTCATAAGATAACTGACTGAACTTTGCACAATATAATTTGTTGATTCAGCCATTGTTAAATTGGAAAAACCAATGCGAGGGTAATGGGTCAGTGAACATCATGTTCTTATACTGAAATGGAGCAGCAGCTTCTACATTGATGAAGACTCTGTGATACGTTTAAAATCTCTGCAAAAGTGGACTTTGATTTGGGATTTTTTTTTAGGTGAGGTTATCATGCAGAATCAGCAGACACAGGTTTATTAATTTAGACTAAGATGCTGTCTGTCTTTTTTTTATGTTGCTCTGGCTCCCAGTTTTCTGTAAGGTTTCTCAGAAGTACCTCAAAAAGAGGCTGGAACAAAGAAAATTGTATTTACATTTGGATCTGGGGTATTAAGTCTGTATTTTTTGTATCTGATGTGCATTAATAGCTGTAATGAGAGCTTCTCATTCAAACTCAGGTTTGTCTGACTGTCCTCAATGACGGACTAAAAGAGAGGTGAAGAAAATGACCTTAAAAACCCTAAATGATGTGGAATCAGCAGGCTGACTGACATAATGTCAAACTAACAACCTGTAAACAAGTGCTTCTGGTACTCTTTAAATAAACGCTATAGCTTTGATTGCTGATGTTGTGCCTTGAGTCAAATGCGTGGTTTTGAAGAGTGTTTTATGCAATTTGACATAACAGAAACTTGGTTTTAGCAAACTGATCAGCAGCTGGAGTAAAGAAAAAGATTCCCTCCCATTACCGTGGGTAGTTGTTGTCTTTTATTTAATTACAAAACTCCTACATGTTTACAGTATTCAGTTTTGAAACATGAAGATTTCCAGGGAAGGGGTTGAATGTCTTATTGTACACACGTTTATGAAGATCTAACTGAAGTGCAGTTTAAGACATTTGTTGAATGGGGGATGGGGATGCCCAGCTGCCATAATCAACAACAAAGGGTTCGGATCAAAATTCAGTCTGAGAGAAATACATATGTATGTGTGGTTTATAATATCCTTAATATTACCAAGTCAAAGCAACGTTCCTGGTGCTTAAGATGCAAATATAATAGTATTTATAATAAACAATGGTGAATGTTCTATCAAGGAAACTAAACAGAGCATTTCTGGTATTCAAATGATATCATTAATAAGAACCTGATTAATTTTGTCAAAATATGTTCTATGAATGATTTAACTGAAGTATCATTCGCAAAACTCACTTCATTGTGAAACTAAACTTTTTGTTAGTTTTTTTATTGTACTGATTTTTAAAATCACATCTATATATTTTTTAATTGCATTTCCAAACCTTGAAATAAGTATTTATAACAGTAAAAATGTTATATTTACTCTAAAATCCAAACAGGCAAATTAGTTATTTGCAGATAAGATCCACCCTAATGAGATTCTGAAGGAGACAATCAGTCGCCCATTTCTCTTAGAACCAAATCTTACAACAAAAGCCTCGAGTTAAATGGATGGAACAGGAACAATCCTAATTGTGTGTGTGTGTGTGTGTGTGTGTGTGTGTGTGTGTGTGCGTGCGTGCGTGCGTGCGTGCGTGCGTGCGTGCGTGCGTGCGTGCGTGCGTGCGTGCGTGCGTGCGTGCGTGCGTGCGTGCCTTTAATCGATCTGTAACCTGCGACCTGAGAAATTCTGTTTGCTGTGTGAGCTGGCCATCAGGTATCCGTGTGTCATTGACTCACATAAAATGCTATAAAGCCAGTTAAAGTGCACTAAAACAGATTGCAGTACAGTATAATGTCAACAAAAGGTAAAGATTACATGATTGTAATTGTAGTATGTTCAATAACAACGATCTACCAAAGCTCAAAACTCTAAAAGTTGAATGTATTCTTCACTTTGTCTTTAATTATCATAGCATACTCATTTTGTTTCAAATAACATTAATAATGCAATCGCATATTATTTCCTCAGTTTGACCTTATTGCCCTCTTCCATACAAGTGTCTGTCTAAAGCTGATTTGTGACGGTGAATTTTGTTTTGGGTTTGAAATTTGACAGCCATTTGCTCTGGATTGAACTGCGACCTCTGGGGTTTCAGTTAGGGACCATCATTTCCACAAATCTGTTGTTATTTTTAATACCTCTGTGCCATCTTGCCCTGGAATAATTTGTCTATGTGGCATACCTTTATGATGTGTCAGGCACCAGTGGATTCAAATTAGTGAGTCATTGTATTATTACACTTCATACTTGAATTTATTTTCAATAGCTTCCATGTCATGTGACACAGTGGCTCTAAATCAATGCAGCCTCATATAGCTAGACTTGACAAGAAGGAGAAACCTATTTATTTGATGTTATGTTTTCTTGTCATGTATGAATATTTGTATCATTGTGGATGACCAATAAAGGGACCTATACCTTCAGTTTAAAAACAATGATCTCCAAGTCAAAAGTTATGGCATTGAGGTAAAGATGAAGAAGCACTCCAGGCAAAAATGCAGGTCTTCAGGCAAACATCGATGACCTCCAGGCAAAAATCAAGGCTCTTGAGGAGCACCGCAACAAAAGAAGGCTTTAAAACTGTGAGGGCTTCTCTGACAGTGATTTAAACGTAATCAGTAAGTAAGTAAAACTTTATTTATATAGCACCCTTCTCAACACGAATGTACAAAGTGCTTTACATACAGTACACAATACAAAATACAAAATACAACTATCAAATGTAGAATAAAAGGCATAAAACACAGCAAGTAAAAGATAGGATAAAACACAAATGAAAAACAGCTACAAACTCACCTCCTCCGACGCCCCAAAAGCCTGTCGGAAAAGGTGAGTCTTTAGCTGCCCCTTAAAAATCTCTACTGAGACAGAGGCTCTCAGTTTCTGGGGGAGTGTATTCCAAAGCCTTGGGGCCACCGCCTCAAAGGCACGGTCCCCCTTAGTTTTTAGCCTGGTTCGGGGCACCCTTAAGAGGCCTTGCTCGGAGGACCTCAGGGCCCGGGTTGTCCTGTGAGGGTGGATAAGGTCGTTAATGTAGGCTGGGGCTTGGCCATGGACAGCTCTATATGTGTAAACTAGGACCTTAAATTGGGTTCTGAGATGGACAGGGAGCCAGTGCAGGACAGAAAGGATCGGAGTGATGTGGCATGTTTTTTTGGACCGAGTGAGTAATCTGGCTGCAACATTTTGGACCTGTTGTAGCCGGTTTATTGATGTTTTGTTGAGACAGGGGAACAGAGCATTACAATAATCAAGCCGGGATGAAATAAAGGCATGTATAGCCATCTCCAGTTCTGCATTGGATAGAAACCCCCTGAGCTTGGCAATGTTCCTGAGGTGGAAAAAACAGGTACGGGTCAGGAGTTTGATGTGTTTGTCTAGTAGCATACAGTAGACTGATCGAAGGTTACACCAAGGTTTTTTATGTTTGCCCTAACGTTACCACTAATGAACCCAGGTGGCTTGCTACCTTAGAGGCGATGTTATCAGCCGCTAAGATCAAGACTTCCGTTTTTGATGCATTGAGCTGTAGGAATTTGCTTGACATCCACTCCTCAATTGCAGACAGACATGTAATCAGGGTGTTTAAATTCTCAGTTTTCACGGGTTTGAAAGAGAAATATATCTGGATATCATCCGCATAACAGTGATATGAGACACCCTTGAATTGGCTAATTAAGGGGCCTAATGGGAGCATGTAAAGGGCAAAAAATAATCACTAATCACTAAGGAGGTCCTTGGCAACAGGTGAGGGATATATATTTACTATCTGCAAATGAACACAGAAAACCGGCATTAACACACTATGACACTATGATGGAGCAAATAATAAGCATTAACTTATATATCCCCTCTTATATAAAATGTAGGGGTCCCGCCTTATAAAAATTATACTTTTCTGATAAGGGCCCCCCCCTTATATAAGATTTTACTTTTTTGATAAGGGGGGACCCTTTTTTTTTTTTTAAAGCATTACCATAATAATTGTTGTGTTTCCAATGAAGAGGTAGAGTCACCCTAGTTTAGTCAGTCCTTCTACTTTTACCAGAGTATTTTTAAACACGAGTATTTGTACTTATACTTGAGTAAAGTGTGTACTTTTGCCATCTCTGCAGGAGGAGAAGGAGAAACATTCCAGAAAAAGCCTTCCTTTTAGAACAGATCCAAGGCTTTTATTGCCGGTAGGTTTAAGAAATGTATTTATTAGGATAAACCCCTTGAGTTGCACAATCTCGTTTTCAAGGGGGTCCCGACAAAAGCAACGTCATACAGACATTCCAAAAAGAAACAGAACAGAAAACAAACAAAAACGAAATAACTGAAAAGGCAAAGCACAACAAACTACACGAAATGGCGTGAGACTGGGTTGCTATCTAGAGCAGGGGTCTCCAACACGTCGATCGCGAGCTACAGCTTTTCAGTAGCACGCCGCTCGCGGTTCACAGACTGTGTAGAAAAAATCCGACGACAATAAATGCACCTGGTGTCGCTGCGGCTCAAGACCCTGACACACCAGGCAGTCACCAGAGAACTTGCCGACACCGACACCGACAGTTCCATCGGCGAGTTCTCCTGCGTCTTGGCCATGTGTCGCACTGGAACACACCGCAAAGACTTCAGCCGAGCACGTACGAACTGCGCATGCGTGAGTGGCAATAACTCTCCTTACCAGCAGGCGGTGGTAGTGTGTATTCGTCATTCAAAATAGGCAACAACCAGAAGAAAGAGAAGAAGAACAGACTGGCGAAGTCACGCCCACCTACTTCCGGGTAATGGGACCTTATTTCGGAAAAATTATGCATTGAAGTCAATGGAGAGAGAAAACTTATCTTTCGATCCCGTTTGAATTGTGCCATGAATTACACATATGATGTTTGTCAATCTTAAAAAATAATTTCCATGTCAAAAAAGTCACAGTTTGTCGTAAAACTGTTGAAATATAAGACTATGAAAAATACGTAACTAGAAAGACTACAAATCCCAGAGTCGCGTAAGTGATGTCACAATTGTTTTCCTCCACCATTCAGATACCTAAGATCAGCGCAATATAGATATAATCTATCTATATGGCGCTGGCTAAGATAAGATAACTTTAACAAGATGCCTGTGTGCTTAGTACCAGGTTGTTATTATACCAGCAATGGGTCTTGCTCGTTCTTTTGCTTCCCGTCTGATGAAAGGACCAGGAGTGGCTTGATCAAGTTAGCTACCTAGCTAGTAGCTAGCACGTTAGTTAGCATTACAGCCTTGTCATTTTTATTAGCCTTAACATGAAGTAACATTAAGTAACCCAAAATGTTAAACAGTAAGAGTAGTAGTCATATTTCGTGAACCCTTTGAATAGTACTGTCACCGGTGTGATCATTCTATAATACACCATTTAAGCCCGGGGGAGAAATGCTAACGCTAACGTTAGCATCGGCGATCTTCTCTACTTCATGCTATCTGCACAAATGGTTGACATTAAACATTAAAACAATCAGGCAGTTCAGAGAGAATCAAAGGAAGGCAGGCAGGCAGCTTTGCATGACATTCTTCAGGACGTGTTTCATTGTGGTGATAGTGAGGATAGTCAATCGTTTTGTTGACAAGACAGTAGTGACGGCCATCTTGGTGACGTGTGTTGTTGACCAGAGATGTAGTTCATTGAGCGTTTCACACAAACAAATGTGTTACTTCACAGTTTTACGACACATTTTTTTTTTTTTTGACTTGCAAAATTATCTTTTAAATTGACAAACATCATATGTGTAATTCGTGGCACAATTCAAACGGGATCGAAAGATAATCTTTCTCTCTCTATTGACTTCAATACATAATTTTTTCGAAATAAGGTCCCATGGAGGTCCACCGGAAGGGGAGGGACTTCGCCACTCTATAGAGTCCCAGCAGCTTCTACTGAAGCCTTCCGAGTAAATCGCCAGAACGCCGACACCTCCTCATCTCCACCGCTCCCATGTTTTGTTTTGTGTTGCCATAAGTTAGTCTCTCTGCGTTTGTGCGCTGGGCGAATGCTAATGCTAATAATGCTAATGCGAGGATAATACAATGGCGGCTCTACAAAACATTTCAGAGTTGTACGAGGCGTGGTTTGCAATTCGCCCAGCCAACCAGAACTGGGGCACTTTTTTCCCCCAGGAAAGTACGATCTCTCAGCAGGCACTAAAAATGGGGGTAAAAGTTCCCGAGATTAAGTGCTCTTTTTGGTGTGAATGCGACATAAGGGGTACTAACGGAACTAAACGCGAAAAGTACGGTGAAAAGTACTCCGGTGTGAACGCGGCTAATGAGGCATCAGTCCCACAAAAAAAAGCACTCGGGTGTGGTCTCATCAGGCTTAACCACATCCGAGCCAAGGCTAAGCATGATGAGAATCTCTCTGATTCCCTTGAACACCTGTGGACGCCTGACACCACAAGCCCTTTAAAGAAAGTCAGGGGACGCAAACAGATTGCCCCTAGATCCCTAGAACCATCAGCTTCAGCATCTTCACAGGATGAGTTCAATGGGAGAAAGAAGATGGGGACGGTGGAAAGGAAGAGCAGCAGGAGAGTTCCTAAAAAGTTACATACAAGCGATACAAGGAATTAATCCACGTCTTCTGAGGAGGATCTTGTGAGGAGAACCAGAGGAACACGTAAAAAACAGAAGCAGAGCTCATGCACTAAGTCCCCATCACCTCCAAAGCCTTCGCCTAAATTGACAAAATCCCTCAAGAAAAAACCCAAAGCAAAAGAAGGCAAAGCGCCACATCTACCAGAGCAAGACGAAGACGAGTGGACAGAGGCCGAGCTTATGAAACTTCAAAAGTAAGTGTTGTAGTCCTACTGAAATTAGAAAGTCACATACTTCTGTGTCCTGATTTCACGCTCACTGGTGTGTGCTTTGTTGTGTTATGCAGGGCTGTGTCCTACATGTCAGGGTACTGGGAAAAGGTGGCGAGAATGGTTGGGACAAGTTCTGCAGCACACATGGCAGGGAACCTCCCAGACTCCTGAGAAGACAGCCAGGAAACAGACGGGAGGAAAGAAGAAGGAGAAAGTGAAAGCAACAGAAGATCCAGGTAGAGAACATTCTAATGTTTGAATGGCAGCTTATCTTGCATCTTATTTCTTTTTGAAGAAGAATTGGCATGCGGAAATCTGACAAACTATCATCTATGCCTAGTTACAGATCCTCCTTTGATATCTGCCGGATTGGGAACCTTTAAAACGAAGCAGCAAGTGCGTCAGTTCCTCGAGGTCATGCCCAGAGAAGATGTTGAGGACGCCTTCAGCTCCGAGTACATGCAGAGGAAACGTTTTGAGGTTAGTTCCCCTTTGTTTTTTGTATTTTGCTAAATAATTGCATCACGATACAATACAGAATGAGTGATAACTGTTCCCCTCGTGACTATCTTGATCCGTAGCTTCCCTCCATGTGTCAGAGTGAAGAAGACTTCAATCTGTCAGAGATGGAGCCACTGAGCCCCACCTCGACAGTTTTCCCAGAAGTAAAGACTCCTCAAGGTTTGCATATCACTCCTGGCATGATAGGCTCTCTAAACAGGTGAGTGACGTTGAATTCTTCCTCAGAATTGAGGTGTGATTGAAGTGTCTAACCTGCCTTTTTCTTAATTTGTAAGGACCAATAACGAAAAGTACGTCCATAAACTCCAGAAGAGGATGAAGAGGAATCAGTTTCAGGTCTGCAAACAGGCTCCTTCCTCAAAGGTACTGCGTTATTGTAGTTCATTTATGACGTTGTTAATATCTTTTAGCGCATGAATTTTAATATTTTATTACAAAAACATTTTCAATCTTTTTTCTTTCAGACCTTCACACCGACAGCATCAGTTAAACAAGCAATGAGAAGAGGTGCTAACACAGGTAGGAATCCTGAGAAATGTGTAGGGTATAATCAAATAGCCCTTTAGCTAATTTGAAGTTTATAGTGCTGGTATTTTATAAATACAGGTAGAGCTGTTTAACTTGATGTTCATTATGACAGCTGTACATTTATTACACTGTGAGACTTATAAGAAGTATAAACATATTTCCAAAGCTGTAAAACAAAGTTGATGGTAGTTATTTTTGACACATGTACACTTGTAACACACACACACTTGTTCTCTCTTTTTTCACTAGAAAATGACAGCGTTGTCGTTTGGGAGATGTTTCCTGAAAAAGATGCCGTGCTGTCTGAAAGCAGAGAGGAAGAGGATTTCTACTTCTCAGACAATGCCTGATTGCAGCTGAAACTGATCTAGTTCCTATTACTTAAAATCAATCGATTACACTGGAGATGTGACCATTGTCCCGTCTTACACATGTAAGAGTTGAATCATTATTGTTTTGTATTTAATTTAACCTTGAGATTTGGTTTTTAATGTGGAATAAACAACATGGGCAAATAACATTTTTGTGTTGAGTCAATTTGGCCAGTTCTAAAGCTAAAAATGATAGTTGAACATTGCTTTACGATTTTAATTTGCAACATTCTGTCAAAACCAGACTTGTGCTGCTGTACAGTATGTACCTGTACATATATGGTTTCTCCTAGCCTCCAGACACTAAGCTACAAGCTACCAGAGGAGGCTACATATCAACACAACAGAGCTCTTGTTTGTTTCATGTAATCATCAGCTGTTTGTGATTTTACATATGTCCACTAGATGGCGCTGTTGTTTGTTATTTATCACAAGTACACAGCATGCCTGTTTTCTTTTTATTTCTTATTGTTTAACAAACAATTTTGTAATTATAACAAAAGTCTAACGATTGTGTGATACAGTAGTAGACGAAGGTAGACATATGAAAAAGTATAAAAAGGTAATTTAGTTCCATGAATATACAATAAAAGAGAAACAAAAATAACACACATGTATAAGTATTAAAGAGACTTCTAAAATGTTATTAATATAGTTTTGTCTGCTTTGCTGTATTCCTTTTCAATGTAATATCAAATGGTAATTTATGCCAAAACTTCATTTTAACAATGTTTTAGTTGACTGAAGTAAAAATATAGATTTTGGGGCTGAAAGTTGCTAAACATAAAATGCCAGGTGACCTTGCAATGATTGCAGTATTACACTCATGCTAGGAACCAGGAATACTTTCTCTATAAAATGTTATTTTAAAAATACAGTCCTTCCCAGTTAAATAGCTGTTTCACAAGGTGTCACCCAAACATTATTCACCAAAAAAAAATACATAATAATATTCAGGTTTGGGTGTAATCACAAATTAGACACAGTTGACAGAGACGATAGGTTGGGACGTGTCACGTGTGCCATATTTCACCAATGACGTCATAGGAGCCAAATCCTGGATCGGCTCGTTTGCACCCCCGTTTTTTTTTAGAGGGTTTTCAGCATGTCAACTCTTTCACCTGTGGGGAAATTGCAGGATTGGCTCCAGGTCGCCCTTTTTATGTACTACAAGACAAATGTGCCTTTTTATTTCATACAGTTCAATTTGGATTGAAACATGGAAATAATCTAAACCTCACGCGTGGCGTTTCACTGTCAAGGGGGGCGATATAGCGTGTATGTAATTACATTGCAAATACTGACTTGAGCCCCACCACCACTGTATGGGTTAGCCCTACCATAGATTACCCAACAAAAATACTCTGGAGCCGCCACTGCCTCCTTATTACACACCCCTACTTTAGTGGGAACAATGAGTCTGCGCACACAGGAATAAACGCAGACCATCCTCTGGCTGCAGCCTTGACCGGCACTTGCTTTTGATCAAAGTCAATGCGGAAAACCTGCACTCACACAGGTAGGTGGAGGTGAAGGGAATGAGCACTTTTACAGCCTTTTGGGCGAGGTGGGGGAACTCCGTCTCCACAGACTATGTAATAAATGGAGTTAAATACTGCTGTCATCCTGTCTGTTAGAGAGCTGCCCTGTCACTTTAAGTGGCTGCAGTGGCCTGGTGGATAGAGAAACTGTTGTAGGGTTTGGACCTGTGACCTTTTCATTTACAGGACAGTTTATGTGTGCATCACTGCAGAGGAGGACATAATGGCCATAATGGCGCGTTTCCAAGACCCATCATGCATGTACATCCATCTCGGAGCCGAAGTGAACATTTATGTGAATTTTCAGTGATGTAGGCTACTTACTATGTGGGCCATAATAATATGTGAGAAATTGTCGTTTTATTGGACCTTGATGTGAAGTAAAGATTTTTGATAAGCTTTGGGTATTGCAATTTCACACGTGTGCAAAAGTAGCTTAATTCAACTGATGAGTGCTATGTGAATAAATGTAAGCGATGTGATGCAAATAGCTCTTGGCCACTTTCATTTTTTCAAAGTAGCTCTCAGATGAAGAAAGGTTGGAGACCCCTGAACTAGGGATACAAATTATATTCTACTGGATCCCAACCACTGAACCGTCGGTGCTCCTCCCGGCCTGCAGGAGGCGATGTTACATCGAGGCGACGAGCCTCCGGGGGAGTAGTGAAGAAGACAGCATGGTGCAGGGACCTTCAGTATTTTGTAGTCTGTCAACTTCATAGAAATGAAACTCTTTGCTTATTTTCTCTCGTAGTATATAAAGAACAATCATACATGGGTTGTTGATCCAAAAGTAAGTCTTGTTTACTTGTGACTCCGTCGTTATGTGCTAAATGTGGAGGCTAATGATAAAAGCTAGCCAAAGTGCTAAACTGCATCAGAGCAGGTCAGGACTGTATCCTGTCTGCTGTGCACACTTAGGACATGGGTCAGTGGTATCAGCATTCACAACAAGCATCTGCATTTACGTTATATGCCTGTGGCTTAGTAAAAATAATGAAATGATAATCTGTAGGGAAGTTGACGACCTTGAATTCAACTGTCATGTTACCCGCATGCATCATTTTACCTAGATAATGAGTAGGCTACTGCCAGAGTTAAGCAAAAGTAGCAATACCACTGTGTTGAAATACCGAAGAGAACAATTAAGTGTTATTTATATTCATAATAATACATCATTGTAGTTTTACATTTACACATATTTATTGATTAGAATGTGTATTACTAATCTGAACCTGTAAATAACTAGTAACTAAAGATGAAATGTAGAAGTAAGTAAATAAAAGACTGCATGAACTAGAAATGCTCAGTAAAGTACATGGAAATTGTACTGAAGTTCAGTACATCACTGAACTCAGATCCTTTCTTTAAGTAAACATTTTAGTAAATGTAAACTTGTTATTAGTTAAAGTGATAAGAATCATACTTATGTGTTACTTAATAAAAAACGGTACAAAACTACATACCGGTTAAAGTACCAATGTTATGAATGCCTCTCAAATTAAATGCTAAAGTAGAATAAGATGAAAAGTTTAGTTGACCTCTGGATTGTATATAACTATAGCACTTAAATTAATCTACTCATTGGGGCTTCAACACACATCATTTTCAATAAGGACTCATCTGTTGATTATTTTTTAGGATTAATCTGTTTATTGTAAAACAAATTAAATGCCAGAAATAAGGAAATTATCATTACAATATCTATAAGAACAAGACTTTTTCTCAAATGTCTGTTTGTACAAACAAACAGACAACTTTTCCTGCTAAAATAACACAATCAATCTTGATCACAATAATGCTCATTACTCCTTTATCTAATTTACTAATTTATTTTCCAACTGATTTGTCTTATTCAGTAGGTCTGCATTTATCATGGAGCCCATAATGAATCAGATTCGCTCAAGAGTCTTCCAGCGCCTCCACAGAGCCGCAGTACTACCCCAGAGGAAACATTCAGGATGTGCTGAACAAGCTGCTGTTCCCGCCCCCACCAACTCCAGAAAAAACAAACCCACGCTCCTGGTGTCGCGCCTCTACCAGCCCGCAAACCTGCGTGACATGGGACTGCCAGGGGAGATGACGTGTAAGAGTCAAAGGCTCATGCAGCAGGCCGGGCTCATCTATCAATCCAACCCCGGCTGTTACTACTACCTCCCTGCCACCGTCCGCTCCATGGAGAAGCTGGTGAGACTTGTTTTTCTTAAAACAAATGATACATGTAAAGTGGGCATGGTAAATCTGGTTGTGTCATGCTCGAAAACAAGAACAGGAAATGTCGATTACGTCCTGCTATAATAAGAATATACACTAGTTCAAAGCATACTGAATCACACAGATGTATATTGTTGTTACTGTATCACTTTTATTTGTATTCATATTTAGATTCACTTTTGGATCACCTTTTCATTTTTTAAATTGGTTCATTTATTTACCTGGTATTCTGCTCTTTAATATTATTCCTCTCATCATTTTATAGATTGCTTTTATTTTATTAATCGCAAAGCCCAGCAACCACTTTAGCAAAGCTAAGGGTATCAAACTAAAATAAAAATGTTTATTGTAATCAGATTCTTGATTATAGGTTGCACAATCTGTCTGACAGTCAAAGGTTGCATTGAGACCTGAGTAGATCATGCATTTTAAAAACATTATTACAGAAAAAGGAAAGATTACAGCAAAGTGTATTAGGGTGGCAATATTGTGGAGGAATATATAAGTGTAGATTTCCCCCCCCCACCCCCGAACATGTAGTAACTGTTGTCTTAAATCAACAGGTGAGAGTTATTGACCAAGAGATGCAGGGGATCGGTGGGCAGAAGCTGGACATGCCCAGTTTGTGCTCAGCTGATCTCTGGAAAACCAGTGAGCGCTGGGACTTGATGGGAAAGGAGCTGTTCCGTCTGAAAGACCGCCATGGAGCCGACTACTGCCTGGGCCCGACACACGAGGAGGCAGTGACCACTCTGGTGGCTCACCAGGCGACTCTCTCCTACAGACAGCTCCCTCTGCTCCTTTATCAGGTACCATTTATTCCTGTTGGCACCAGTGTATTTGTTGATAAAAATACAATTTGACCTTACCTCTTTCTTTTTTTTAGATCACCCGTAAATTCAGAGATGAACCAAAGCCTAAGTTTGGTCTGCTTCGAGGGCGGGAGTTCTACATGAAGGACATGTACTCATTTGATGTGAGTGAAGAAGCAGCTTACGAGACCTATGAATCTGTGTGCCAGGCATACACCAGGCTCTTCGCCCGGCTCGGTCTGCGCTGCGTTCAGGTGCAGGCGGACACGGGCAACATTGGTGGTAAACTCTCCCACGAGTTCCAGCTGCCAGCAGACATCGGTGAGGACCGGATTCTGGTCTGTGGGAACTGCTCCTTCTCTGCTAATGTAGAGACCCTGTCACCAGACACAAGTGACTGCCCTAACTGCAAAACTGGCAAGCTGGAAGAATCAAAGGGTGTAGAGGTCGGCCACACCTTTTACCTGGGTAAAAAGTACTCTAATATATTCAATGCCACCTTCAGCAGTGCCCAGAACAAGCCTTGTATTGCAG